AGTACCTTTCAAAAGTCGTTCTCTAGTTTGCTCTAATTCATGATGCAAGGTTATGCCTGATTAAACAGAACCTGAACACTAGTTAAATCTGTACAGTGGAATCCTCATATAGAGGAGTCAGTCTTTTGCATGGACCTCTAACGAGAACTGGGTTTGAAGAATGCAGTGCATCGAAGTAACTCGTTACTTTATCTTCCCTTAAGTAAATATCTGTGCCCATGCACACTGAAATTCCTGTGTTACTTCAGAGTAGCTTTAAAGTCTAAAAAATATTGCGTGTATATGCATGTGCTTAATTTTACTGTAGAGTTCTTAATTTAGCCTCTTACAGTATCCAGAAATCTATAACTTGATACAATTAAGCACAGTTTGGAGATGAGCAAATATGTATCTTGAGGCTAATGATTTGAAAAATGCTCCACAATTAACTGAGATAGGAGAAAGAATAGTTTGATGAACAAATAATGTGTGTTTTCTTGTAGTAGTCAGTGTTTCTCCCTATCACGAAAGATGAGTGGGTTCTTTTTTCAGTTGTATTATAATGTTTAGGTTGTTTAAATGTATGTCAGTTGGGGGAAGAAGGATTGTGGAAATGATAATATGTAAAGTGAGGTTTCACAAAGAATACTTTCCAGATCAGTTTCATTTATTAAATTCTTAAGAAAAAAATCTATTTAGTGGTTCTGAAATACTGTTTCTTAAAGCCTTAAATTTTGTGTTTAAGGCTAAGTAGGTGAAAGTGTTTTCTCCCTGTCATTTGCTTCATTGGTGCTAGACCCTATCACATGTTCATCAGTGTAAAAGGAGTTTGATTTTCTTTGTGAAACATCACTGTGTGATAAAGTATATGTGTATTTAGCATCCTTGTTTTTCTTTATGCTAAAGTGGATTCAGCTGTGTTGGGGCAGAAGAGACGGGACCAGCTGCTGGCCACATTTCCTGCTTTATTTTAAAAGGTAGTATAAGAAATGAGAATAAAGAGGTAACAGGGCTTTTGCTGTCTTTGGTTAAAAAGAAAAAAGTTGAATGCTGGGATCATTTACTGTCATTCGAGTTTTTTTTTTAAAGGCAATATCCTATCAAACAGGTTTTACTCCACTGTATGTAGAATTCCATCTGTTCAGGGTATATTGCCAGCACAAAAGAGACTTAGTGGGATATGTGTTACCTTACACCTCTGTGGTGGATCAGCAGGGCTGTTCAAAGTTTCAGTCTTAGACTGGGTAACTGCTGTAAGTGATGGGTTATACCCGTGCCACAGGAGTCAGAGTTAACCACCAGGACCTGCACTGACTGATAATGCAAAATGGAAATAATTTAGATTCAACCTAGGCTCAACCTGCCTAGCTCAGACTTCATGAACATGCTTTATTTTGCAGTTTATTGACAAAAAGAAAAACATTAATGTAGTATGGGATGTTACAGTGGCATTTTCACAGTTACTTCAGTGTAGAAGTGGTTTTTAAGTTAAATATGCATTCTTTCTTGTCGCATCACTGCTAAATGGCAGGGTCAGGGACTCAGTTCTTCTGGTCTCTGTGTGAACCCGCACATTGCTCTGTCGTGACACGACTTGTGAGCTGTGTCTGAGAGCAGCTGATTTTCTGACATGCAAAATGATGTATTGTGGTACAAGAACAAGGTTAAGTCCCAAGAAAGTCAGTGGCTGCAGGCATTTGTAGTGCCTACTGAATCATATTTAAACCAAATAGTGGGGAGGAAGCTATTTGAAACTCTTGACTGTACTATCTGTATGGTGTATTATTAATGTAGCTTTTTGAACTGAAAGCCTTGAAATGAAAAAACTTAATACTTGAAAATATATTGTAAATGTTTCCTTGTAATTATGTGCCATCCAGATAAGAATACAATATCATAATAAAATCAGACTTGTTGATCTTTCAGTTTATGGGCTCAAATGTTTTTTCATCTTTTTCTTCTCATTAATGTCTTGGTTCATTAAACAAAGTGGGAAAACATGAAAATGCTGTTTCTGCTCTCTTTGTGGGTCATCCACTGAAAAGATAAAATGGATCAGGGTGTGCAAGACAAATGTTCTTGCTCATCTGTATTGAAAGATAATTTTGTGGTAGGGACAAAGGTGTTATTCCTTGAACTGTGGGTAGAGCTGTACTTCTGAGAATCAGCACTTCTTGTATTTTATAGTTGTTTTTCTTAATTTTTTAAATATGGATATGTTTGATCAACATACCATGGAGGAGTAAAATACTTACATAAACCCTTCCGGGGTCTGTTGGCATCTTCCTGCTTTCTGTCCTATTTTTAGGCACTGAAGTTTGATGACTGGTTAATAATATGTTGTAAAATCACAACCTCATCAAATTTGTATTTCCACAGTAAACACTGGAGTGAGTGTTTAAAACAAAAGGTTTGACGTTGCTGAAAGGACAGAACATTTTCAGAGCTCCAGAGTGAGCCATGCACTGTACTTTTTGATTTCTGTTCATCTTAAATGCTTTATTTGTAGGACAGTTTAAAACAGCGCTTTCCACATGCAGGCATTCTAGTGAAAGTGGTCTGCAGCTTGATGAAAAGGAACGTTTCACTAAAAATAGTGTAAAAATTTAAAAGCATACTGGCATGCTCAGCCTTTTTGGCCTGTAGTTGTAGAAAGTACCCTGTTCAGCACTGGAATATGTGTTTGTTAAACTTTCGTACCACAGAACTAAGTGGTGCCAGTGTTCAGCTGTGTAGCTACGCTACCTACATTTTTCAGTATTTCTCCACCCCAGAGTCAACCAAAGAAGCATTGGAAATATTTAAATAAGAAACAATTTAATGCTCAGTTCTCCTTTAGTCCTTTATAGTTTGATTCTGGTGCTGTGACTCTTAGTACTGCTCTAAATTAACTTTTCTCTCTTTCTTCTGAAGAGCTTTGCAGCAGGAAAAAAAAAATCAGTGCTTCTGCAATCTGTAGATGCCTGGAGAGATGATACCAGAGGAAGTGCAGGAAACCCTGTTCCAACACTTGGCATCTCTTTGTACTTCCAGATTATCAGCTTTCTCATGCCATTTGTCAAAACTATAATCAGTTTTCCCTGTGAAACAGAGGAATCTTTTGCAAAACATAAAGGTCTTTTGTACATTTACTGATTTTTAAAATCCTGTGTTTTCTAGAGCTTTTAAAGAGGTTTTCTGCTGGAATCAGCAATATTCTGGTTATATTTACTATTTACTATTAGACTGTAAAATGTCTGAAGGATACGTTAGGTATGGGAGCTGTTCAAATGGACTCACTTTAAAGAACACCCTGTACCAAAATTGCATATTGCCAGCTGCTGATTCTACAGTTTTACGCCTAGTTGAAGTGGGATATGTAGATGTGGGGAAATAATTTCTGTGGAGAAATGATTCTGTGCTCATTAGCAGGAGGATGCCAAGAGCAGGGCTAGGGTGTGTACCAGGAAGATGGGCGCATCATTTGCAGAGGGCTGTGGAATAGATTGTAAAGTTGATATCCAGCATCATAAATGGATGCAATAATCACTGAGCCAGTCATTCTTAAAGATACTACTGCAAAATAACACCTTTATTTTATGTTTTTTATTATCGCAGGTAAGTGGTTCTGTTGGTTAAAGTCTGATGGCTTCTGGAGATATGACAATTCACTGTCATGTAAAATAATTGCTCCGTGAGAATCTCCAAAGTCAGGGTGGTTAAGGTAAGGCCAAGCTCTCTGTTTAGATGCAGACCAGTATGGGAACCCCATATGACACAGCAATACTTTGAATCAAGGGAAACTGAATTATCTCTGTGTAAAAACAGGTAGTCTGTGTTTGCTGCTTCCCTCTACAAATCAGGCTGCTACTGCTGGTTATAGAGAAATAGAGTGGGTGATTTTCCTGCTCTAATGACAGATTGTTAAGGAAAAGGTAGATAAACATGATGAAACTCCTTAATATATTTTTCATCAGTGTTACAGCATAACTTTTAACCCAATTCAATTAGTCTCAATGCTGAATTCTTTAATTCTAATTAATATTTCCACATGAATCTCAGGGGATACTAGAATTTTACTAAAGTGTACATGAATTGACCAGTAACTGTACAGCTTTTACAATCACAGAATCATTTAGGTTGGAAAAGATGGAGTCCAACTTTTGACCAATCACCAGCTTCTCAACTAGACTACGGCACTAAGTGCCACATCCAGTTATTTCCTGAGCACCTCCAGAGATGGTGCCTCCCACCTCCCCCTGGGCCATCCACTCCAATGCTTAACAACGCCTTCTGTGAAGAAATTCCTCCTGGCACTTTATATTGCTCTAGAACCAGTACAGTCACCAATGTGAAGACATGCCTGACTCGTACATGCATTACTTTAGACCACTGATCTTAGAACTTGAGGTAGCTGAGATATCACACCAGCCCTCAGAGGCCTCTTGACACACTTCCATCCTTCAGGAAAAGAGTAATTTCAAGGCAAAACAAGGATAAAGTGTGCTCTGACTAGATTGTTTTTTGGTTGCTTGATACATATGCTGGGAAGCCTGACACGACTATCACTCTGATTGCTGTGTGATAACAGTGTTCTCTTCGGTGTGCAGTGGGACCCTCCTAACAGCCTAAAGGAGGTAATCTTGTGACAGAAATTTTGTGCTAGCAGAATGGAGAAAAGGGAGAAGAATACTCAGATTTTGAGGAGTATCTAGAAAACCCTTGCCATGATCCCCCCTTTTTAAAAAAAAAAAAAATCTCAGTAGTTTGCATTATGAAGAAAAAGCCTCCTTTTTCAAGAATACTCATTTTAAGAGCTTCTAAAAGACGTAGCATCACCTGAGAGCCAAACACTAAGCAGGCAGTATAAATGCTTTCCCCCCCCATTTCCCAACAAGCACACCTGTCTATAATGCTGTTATTCAGCTGTATACTCTAAGCTGGGCATAACAAAAATCTTAACCTGCATTTAAGTTCAAAACTTGAAAAATGTCAGTGCAGAGTCTTTGTTTTTCTTTTAAAAACAGACAGAAAGCAACAACTTCTTTTCCTTGTTTATTATGGTTACTTATCCAAGGCAATTGAAAAGTTATTGTAGCTCTTCAGGATCCCTGCTAAGGTGCATCTGCTGTAGTATTTTGACATATATTCCGTGGTGTTTAGTGGCAAGATATAATCCAGTTAGACCCTGTACCAGTACACCCAGACTTGTCTTTCTAAAGACAGGCTGAATGATTGTGAGCCAGTAGCGTAATGCATTTTCTTTCCCTGGCAAGGGAGATGACATGTACCTAAACAACATAAACAGTGGTAGAAACTTACTTCTTTTTGCCATGCAAGTGTCAAGATTTAATATTATAAATATTTAGGTAGATAGTAATTTTCTCCTTCCTCTCCTAAGTTAAATTCACCTGGTGGTACTGAGCTCTCTGGATAAATGCTATAAAACATCCTGACCCTGTACTGAGTCTCGCCAAGCCTCGCTGTGCTCTGAATTACAGAGAACGACACCTGCCAGGGAGTTTGGCTGCCAGGCACTGCCCAGGGTCACTGAGGTCTCTCAGCTGTCCGGCCATCTTCACTGCTTGGCAAGATGGCAGCCACCACTGCCCACAGCCAGGCATATCCTGGGTGGCTTGTAGGGTTCCACTTCAATACAAGTGCTTCACAGTGGATTGCTTTGCAGATCTTGTTTAATTTTGGAGGCTTGGTGTAGCTCTTATGAACGTCACCTTGTAATTAGATGACCTTAATATAAATCCCCTCCCCATGTACTACATGCCTACAAGAAGACAGGTGTGTACAGACTTAAATTCCACAAAATTTACTCTGAGAACGGAAGATTTAACCAATAAATACATTTCACTTATTACAGGTTAATAAGACGTACCTGGCTGCAAGGCTTGCGTTCAAGGGGAGAGCCAGGACAACAGGATAGAGAGCACCCACAACAGCCCCTACTAATCCTCCTCTGACCACAGCACAGACCTCACAGTTCAGCTGACCTGCACGGCAAACAATATTTCAGTCAATATGCACACATGCTCCACCCCATCAATTTATAAGCTGTGTGCAAGAACGTGGAAAGAGGCCCTTGACAGAAACTGCCACGCTGTACAGGCATGCAAGAAATTATGAAAGGAGGACTCTTCCTTTTGCAAAAAAAAACCAACAACACAAAACTCCCATTTCAACCCACAAAGAATTTATCACTCTAAAGCTGACCTTCAAATAAAATTGTACAGACGGGGGAAACTGAGCTGCTTTGTTGCAGTCGCTTTTACATGACTTTGAGTGAAAAATCTAAAAACAAGTAATGTGTAACAGAATTATTTTTATAAATCTACATAAACATGTATCTCCTTTCCCACTCCACCTCAAGAACTCACTGCTGCCCAATGCATTGTTTTTCAAACCCTGCTTTACAAACTGAGGTTTTTCAAGACCACAACAGTTCAAGAGCACTGCTTTGTAGGGAAGAAAAGCTCCTCTAGTGTTATGTTGTGAACAGAAAGCAAAGCCCTTTTGAAAACAAGGAATAAAGAGTTTTTTACCTGAAAATAAAGGGCCACGCACAAAAACTTCATAAACTGCTGTTGTTGAAAGAAATGGAATAACAGCCATTGGCACAGTGGACACCAAGAAAGCCCTTCTGATATTTAGGATGTTCCTGAAGAAATTATTTGCTGCTAAGCCACATAAGCTTGAATTTGCTGCTAGGAAGTATGATCCATGATTACAAAGGTTCCTGTGAAAGGAGAAAAGTCATTTTAGCAATTGAGAACCGTAAAACAGTTTATTCAGTGTTACAATTCTTTTCTGAATATCCTACAACAAGGGGTAAGAGAGGTAAATCTCTCACAAGTGCAAAATAGAGGAACTACTTTCAAAAGCAACCAGCACAGCATCCTTTGTTACATGCCCGAGTTTACACACACTTTAAGAGTGAAATGACAGAAAGGCTGAGAAGCCTTTTCTACAATTTTTTTTTAGTTTATTACAGCTAATGGAAGCTTGAGCTAAATTTGCTCTCCTAATCAGCATGTTTCTAAGGAGAATGTTTTCTGAAAAGAAATTAAGAAATATATATATAGAATCACAGGTAGCTCCTGTAATCAGCCATGTTTTTAGCCTGCATACCAAAAGTATAGGTTTAGTTTCAACATAAGAGCTTACAGAACAGATCAGGTGGGATAACTCAGACTTTGCAATAATGATCTCAGCAGCTGCTGGCGATCATTTGTAGTGAACCTGCATGCTGAAGGGCTGTAAGCTTTCCTTGTGTGGATTTAAGGTCCTACCTTGCTAGTTAAAGGCTATAGAAGTCCAATGTACTGGTTTACAGAACTGGAGCTTCTATTTCTCCCTTGATAACAGAGGGACTGAATTCTGTTATCTACGATATTTTTAACATATGGTTTAGAGCAACTACTCGTGTTGCAATCTGTAATAGGGTGAAGGCAGAATAGAACAAAGCAGTCAGAGAGAGTCAGCAGCATTTAATATCTTAACAAACAGTTCCCGTTTGAGTACATCACATCCCAGCAGGTAACACAAGAGAGGGAACAGGCAAGCGTGCCAATTTTACAGGCCTGATGAGCAAATTTATGTAACTTCATTTGACTGACAGAAGGAAGTTGTGCATTATCTTTAGCATTATAGCTGGCACTATCTGGTTAGTGGAAACAACTCTTTGCTTTAGGTTTCGGCGAATCTAAAATTCACAGAATGGCAACTATTGCCAGGTGAAGCAATTACCTAGAAGGCACTCTGATTCTGAGGCTGTACCAATATTATTATGTTAAAAGTGTCTTTTTAAAATTGTATTTATCACTAAAGCCCCGAAAAAAAAAATTACTTAACCGATCACAAACTTTATGCTAGGCCAAATGTCATATTTACTTGTAGTTATCAGAAGTGACAATCTTTAAGCCATTCAGCAATTAGAATACATAATGAAAAAAAACAGTCTACTTAAAATTCTTCATTTTAATGCTTAGAATAACATTAAGCACTGAAAAAATCATACAGAAAATACTTCAGAGATGTGCAAAACTTAAAACATCTGACATTAAAGATGCCAATAATTTCTCATTTTGAATAGGAAAATACCTTAGTTCCCAATATATACTAGATTTTCAAAGATGAAAATAAGCTACTAACATTTCAATTCTGCTGCTATATAGAGAGAGCAAAAGAACTTTACTTGTCAGATCTCTTCTCTTACCCCTTATTAAAGAGCTATTCTTTTTTTTTGTGCTTTGTTTTAAAAAGAAATTTGCTTTTCAAATCCCCATTTTCCCAATTCTGGACATCACTCTCAGAATGTCCACGGAGTACTTGCTGCAAAGCAGCCATTTCATTCTCTTGGGATGTTTACAGTCACAGGCAGTGAAACGCAGGTGGGCACATCCATAAATGTGGAGGACAGAGATTAAAATTTTAGCAGCATATTTAAGTATCCAAACCAGATCAAATTAATGTACTCAGGACCAGCAGAAACTGCTTAGGTGTGGTGAAGTACAGAACTGCTACACTGCACAGAAGCAAAGAAAGGGAGGATGGAAGCATTGGGGTTTGGAGTTTTGTTTATTTGCTTTAAATACAAGCTCCCTAGTGTTAAAAACACGTGCTTTGGTGAACAGGAACTCTCTCAGTCTGACTGCAGCGTGTTTGCCGTTCCCTTCCAGCCATTAGTGACCTCCCCTCTGGATATACAAGCCTAAAGTCCTGCCAGGACTGCCAGCTACTTCTTTCCAAGGCCCAGAAGTCCTTAAGTATCACAGTTTCTATCCAGATGTTACCACATCACTACTGAGGTTATCTGCCTCCCCTGCTCTCCTGAGGAAGAAGGAGTGTTGCAAGTTGAATGTGAGGGCAGCAGATCCTATGCAAAGTTGCACCCTTTGTTTTCTCACCTGTGTGGGGAGGCCCTGTGTTACTACCAGCAGTTTGTTTAGCCAGCAATTCAGTCCTATTAAAAATATATATAAATAAAATAAGCTTCCAATTCCTCTTATTTATACAGAATTTATCCAAGCTGATACACACATTCAAATGGCTCCTAAAAGAACCAGCTCAGGTCCAGTAATATTTTGCAGTGAAATGCAGTATCACAAAACAAAAAGGTCATTTGTAAGGCCCAGAAAGCATTTAGCTGACTTTGTGTTGCACAGAACCCTGCTGGTGAGCCTGCAGGACTCCAGCTGACTCCTCCACCACCACCTGGATACCTCAGTCTCGCCTTCCTGAAACGGGAAGCAGTGCAGAATGAAATGCAGAAACAAGCAGGCTGACACTCACTCAGTTCTGGCCCCAGGCCAGTCCTGCTGGACACAAGATGACTCCAGCAGAATCAGATTTCATTTCCTAGAAAATGTATTAGTTCTAGCATAGGACTATGTGAATGCTCACAGCCAGTCCGGGCTAATCAGCCATCCCAGAACCCTAAGCATTGGAGAGCACATACTAGAAACAGGACCAGAGCTAACACTGAACTAACCATATTGGAAAAACATAAAACAAGTTCTCTCTTCTGGGCACTAACAAGTATCTTCACAATTAAGTATTTTTGTAACTGCAAAGAAAATTTGTAATATGAGAGTAAGGAAAAAGAAAAGCCTCCAAACGACTCGACATGTTTGATGCACTTATCTTCATTTTTTTACCAGCACTTACTGATCTGCTTTAGGAAGCTCATTTAACATCTTTTGTATGATTTCCATCTGCTTGAGTCTTTCCAAAAATAGACTCTGCTGTGGAGAATCTAGTTCAAGAAACTCTCTTCCTGTCATTTTGGAGTCCTGGATCATAAGGAAAAAACAAACAAAACAAACAAACAAAAAAACCCCAAAGTTACATAGCCCCAGTATGAATCAAATAAACATTTAGACTCTTTGCCACCATGAATCACAAATGTATTTCCTATTTTGCATGGCAATATTCCAGGTTTAAATTGATTTAACTGTCAAAAAGAGGTGAAAGGAAAAAAAAAACAAATAAATCCATACTTTGTAAAGATTTAAAGAAATTACGAAGATACCTACTCTGCTTTTATACTCCACACATAAGGACTTTTTTTATTGGTACCCTTAGCCAGAGACTTATATACCACATCAGTTGTATTGGGTTTGTGTGTCAAGGTTTTGGTAGCTGGGGGGCTGCAGGGGTGGCTTCTGAGATGCCAGAATCTTCCCCCATGTCTGTCAGAGCTGTTCCAGTCAGCTCCAAGATGGACCTGCCGCTGGCCAAGTCTAAACCTAACCTCAACAAGTGGCAGTGTTTGTGAGATAACATAGCTAAGAAAGGGTAAAAACTACTGCCCAGGAGCAGGTGGAAAAGAGGAGTGAGAAAATGTGAGCAAAACAGCCCTGCAGACACCCAAGGTCAGTGGAGCAGGAGAGGTAGAGCTGTTCCAGGTGCTGGAGCAGAGATTCCCCGGCAGCCCATGGTGCAGACAAAGGTGAGGCAGCTGTGCTCCTGCAGCCCATGGAGGTCCACAGTAGAGCAGATATCCACCTGCAGCCCCTCGGGGATACCATGCCAGAGCCTGAAGGAGGCTGTGACTCTGTGGGTAGCTGCACTGGAGCAGGCTCCTGGCAGGACCTATGGCCCCATGGAAAAAGGAGCCCACTTTGGAACAGGTTTCCTGGCAGGACATGTGAGCCTCTGGGGGACCCACACTGGAGCAGGCTGTTCCTGAAGGACTGCACCCTGTTGAAGGGTCCCACAATGGAGCATTTCATAGAGAACTGCAGCCTGTGGGAAGGACTCAAGTTGGAGAAGTTTGTGGAGAACTCCTGTGGGAGAGATCCCACACTGGAGAAGGGAAAGAGTGCAAGGAGGAAGGAGTGGTAGAGACAACGTGATGAACTGACTACAACAACCCCCATTCCCCACCTCCCTACATTGCTCAGAAGGAGGAGATAGAGAAAATGAGGAGCGAAAGGAGGGATGGAGGAAAGGTGTTTTAAAGATCTGGCTTTGTTTTTCATTACCCTACTCTGATTTGAGTGACAATATACTAAATTTTCCCAATGTTTACTCTATTTTGACCATAATGGTAATTGTTGAGTGATCACCCTCTACTTATCTCAACCCATGAGCTTTTATTCATACCTCCTCCTTGTCGTGTTGAGGAGGGGGAGCGACACAGCATCTTGGTGGCTAAGTGGCAACCAGCTGAGGTCACCCATGCCAAAAACTCTTGATTAAACCTGGTGTTTAGTGATCCAAATGCTTGTTTTCTAGATATTTAACCCCAGAGGAAATTCTCCCAGACTCCCTTTGCCAGTCATACCTACCTTAAGTTACTTTTATGACGTGAAGGCTGAGTCGTAAGCCCTTCTATAGGACTGTGCCTGTTCCGGTTGAGGCTTGGCAGGATGCAGGAACGGAGAAAGCAGGACAAGCGCGCAGGATCTCACCGGGATCACTCTAGGCCGTCTCAGGAGAGTCCCAAACCTGTGCTTTGGGTAATGCACAGACCCAGCGTCACAGAGCTGTAACCACCCACCGCTCCCCGACCCTCGCACACGTTTTGCACACGCATCTCTCCCTGATCTTCGCACGCCGCTGGAGGCCCCCAAGCCCTGCAAAGCCCCTGGCTCAGGACAGAGCCCTCACCCCCGACCTTCAAACACCAGCCTTACCAGCCGCCGCCCCCGCACCGCGCTCACCCTCCCGACCACGCCGCCGAGGTCCGGCTCCGACCTTGAGCTGTCCGGGAACACCCGGCCCCGCCGCCCCCGTCGGGCCGCTCCCGACGCTCACAACATGGCTCCGCCCACCTCACGCCCTCCTCGTGGGCGCCGCCATCTTGCCCGCTCACATGACCCAGGGGCCTCAGAAGCCGTCTCCGATTGGGCGGCTGTCCGTCGGCCCAGAATGGCGGCGGCCGATTGGGCGCGGGCCGGGGGCGGAGCGCGGCTGTGGTTGCCGGGGCGGCGAATGGCGGCGGCTCCTCGATGGCGGCAGGGCTGAGCGCGGACCCTGCACCGGCGGCCGGGACGCGGGGACTCCCCCTCCCTGCGGCGGGGGGAGGCCCAGTCCTCGGGGTAACCCGCTGACCCCTTCCCCTCAGCCCGCGCCCTCTCCCCGTCCGCCCCCCTCAGCCCCCCCGCCCCTCCCACCCGTCGCCCTCTTCCCTCGCTGCCGGCTCCTTTGTGCTCCTTGCCCGTCCCGCCCTTCCGAGTGCCCTTCGCCCCGGCTGCGTGTCGCTCCGCCCCACCGCCGTCTCCCCCTTCATCCCGCAGTTGCGTCCCGCCTGTCCTTCGGCAACTCTGGGGGGATTGTCCTCGTCCTTCAACCCAGCCCGGCTCCTCCAGCTCACCTGCGCCCCATCCCACTCTCCCCCGACCCAGCCAGCCTCTGTGCCCTGTCTCGCCTCAGAACGCAGCACAGTCCCCCTTGGGTTCGGGAGAGCCGGGGGAAGGAAGGAGGGGTGGGTTGAGAGGGGTGAGGGAGGAGAGCCCTGGCGCCCCTGCCTGGGGATGCGGGGACGGACAGATTCCGGTTGTGAACATGAAAGAGCGAAGCAGAGCCGCCCCCTTCGCAAACACGGTTCCCATCGCCCACAGACGATGCAAAGCAAAGCCCCGGCATGTGCATCGCAGGTCCTCATTCGCGCGGGGAAAGGAAGCGCACGAAGCTTGTTCGCCTTTTTCGTACATTTCCTTAACGAGGTAGATGAGGAAAATCCATCCCGTTTCTGTTTCTCTTTTTGTTTGTGTTTTTTTTTTTCCAGAAAAAGGGAGGGAGAGAGAGAGAGAGAGAGGCTCGTATTGAAGCCAACCAGCTGCGCTTCTGAGTGGGAAACTCCGGACTGATCTCATGGCTTGCTTTTTATTTCATTAATACTTCATTGTCTCTGAAAATGAACCATTTGTGAAGCTCTTCTTCTAACTCTGCTTATTCCTCTTTCATGAGGTGGCTGCTGCTGTGCAAGGGAAGGAATGGCATGAAGTAAATGGCTCCAGTATAAGCAATCTGCTTTGCCCAAGTGCCCAGTGAGCAGCACTGTCACTTTAATAATTCCAGGTCAAGGGATTGCTTTCCTCGTTTTCAATCCTCTTTTAATACATGGGAGGATCAGAGGGACATTAAAGCCGTAAGGCTGGGTGGCTTGCAGATAATAAAAATGAAAGTGACTGCCCAGTGACTTCTCTTGGGTAAGAGGGTGATAGTTGAAGGCTGTTGTCTGGTGAGGAAAAAGGGACCTTTTCAGTCTGCTGTGTAGTCATCTAATACATAGCTAGCAAAATTATTTCAAGAAGTTAAAGAGACACTTTGGATTGTTTTTGTCTTCCTCCTTATTTGGATTATTTGGGCGTTTTTGTCCTGCAAATGATATGTTTTTGAGCATGTACAGGTGGAGTATTGAGACAGCTGCCTAGAGATGGACTGTGCCTTAATTGTATTGCATAAAATCTTTTAATTTTCAAACTTTGCTGCCAGAAGAGGAGTTATAATAAGGTTTTATATTGCCGAGGAACGTTTGCTCTTGTATTTTTATAGATTCAGTTATATTTTAAAGAAATTGAAAACATCTCTTAAAAAAGAATCAAAAAGCTTCTTTTCCCCTCCTTTTTTTTTTTCTTATTTGTGGGAAGCATCAGAAGTCCAATACAAGGGAACAGCAAGTATTCATAGAAATGAAGATTGAAGCTGCATTTCCTTACTGAACTGTAAAAGTGTTCTGCAGTAGATAGCCAATTCTTGACCTCGCAGAGTGCTCCAGTAGTACTTCGTTAGTACCTGTAAATAAGTGCTTGCAACCAGATTCAGAAGTAGGAAGAAGAATGCCAGTCAAGAAGAAAGGTGGGCTATGAAGCTTCATATCTCATATTGCGTCTTCATTGTGTTAGATTGTTGATTTCTGGTACTTACAAATTCAAATTAAAAATATTTTAATGGGGAATGGAAATAGTTTTTCTCTTGCGCTGAAAATGGGAGAAAAATCTGTGCTCTTACAATACTAGTTTTTAAAAGTAATTTTATGCTATGTTTTAAGATTTAGTCAAATTTGGCTTCAAATGTTTTTTTTTTTAAAGATCAACCATCAGAGATTTTGAACAAACACTAAGAGAAAAGCTTGGCATTTAATTTTGTGAGAAGGCTCTCTTACAAATGCCAATAAATTTTAAAACCATAGTTTAGTCTATTATCTATTCATTACGTTTGGCAGATAAACTTCAGGTATTAGTAGCAGCATAAATAAATAAGAAAGTTTCAAGGCCAAGTTTAAATAAAAGTTATGGGAGTTGTGTTTTGAAGGTGATTTAAACGTGTGGGTTTTTTCAAATGTGATTTTAATTAACTTGGATTTCCATTCTTTAATACAATATAAAATTACTGTCATTATGGCTGTAGTATGGCAGCATTTAAGGAACGACGAACAGCCTTATGTTTTGCCCATTCTCACCTCAAGTTTGTGATGGCTGCAAGAATAGAAGCAGCTTTGGAAAACGTGATTTCCAGTATTCAGACAAGAATTGTGAAATATATGCAGGCAAATTCTTACTCTGAAAACACTTGTATACCTTTGGTTATAGCTGTTTACTTGCAGATAGGGCACTGATCTAAAGTTTTTTTATGTGCTAATAGAATAAATGTTGTGTGAACCTTTTTTTATTCAGCTCATCTATCCAGATGCGTGCTCTGATATATCCCTGGATCTGATGATACAAAATGTGGGGAAGGAGCAGAAAGTGAATATTACACAACAGAAATGAAGATATAGTTGATATGACTTTGGGTTCTCCTCCTTGTAGGAGTAACCCTTCATTAGTTATGAATTAACATTTACTAAGTAAATATTGATAAAACATGCAGATTGCTAGAATTATTTTCATGCAAAAAACAACAAACGGGATTTTGTGTTTATATTTTAACACATGACAGTGTAGAAATGAATTTTCAAAACTGAAATATTTTAATGGATCATCCTGTCATTCATTATAAGTGATTACAATTATGTGTAGTAAAGGTGGGAACGTGTATGGAGGAGTAACATCCTTAATAATTCATCCTGCTGTGCTGTCAACGTGTCACCCTGATGTACTGGTGAGGCTCATGTGTTCTACCTGTTTACAAAAGGAAAATTGAGACCGTTTTCTTATTTTAAGTCTTAATCCTGATTTAGGTGATTTACATTAAGGATGTTTCCGTGCTGGATGTTTATCTGTAATTCAGTTTCAGAACACTTGCTGCAGGATTTTTGGGGTGAAATCTTACAGGCTCCTTTGTGCCTAAGTTAGATTGGCAATCACAGCAGTCCCTTCTGGCCTTAAAAATCTGTGGATTTCCTGTTTGTTTCCAGGCAGTTTGGGTCAGTTTTAGTGTACAACAAGGCTCGAATTTCTTCTGTCTTATGAGGATGTGTATTTTGACAATGTTAAAATATAAACTCAAGAGACCCAAATATGCTCTTTGAAATACTATAAACTGTAACATCAATCGGTGTATTGGAGTTCCCAGTGTGAATGGCTTTGAGTATTAAAAGGGTATTGTTAAAAATGTATTTAAGCATGTAAATTGCAGGTTTAAAAATGGTAACGAATCAGCAACTTCATTATGATTTTGAATGACTTAATTTGTCTAGTTCATGCAATAGATTTTAACTTTCTAAACATAATTAAAAGCATGCTGGCAACTTGAAACACACTACCGTTTTTTAAAAAATCCGCTATTGTTACACGTAATCCCTGTTACTGCCATAAATACGAAGGAGATTGAGCGGATTTTTTTCCCTTTCTTTTTTCCCCATTTATTTGCTTTATGCTTTTGACAGCATTTTGTGTCTAACTAATTTTATATTTCTGATGGTGATTTATTTTCCCTTTCTTGTTTTACGTATTTGGGAGATCATGTCTACTGTCTTTCCTACCCAGGCCATCTGTAGAAATCTTGGTGGGATACTCACTTCTAGGCTGTGCAAAAGTATGTATTTCAATAGCAACATTAAGGACAGGATTATCCCTCTCCATTTCAGCACTTATTTTTGTGTTGCTATTTTGGATTTGATCAAAACATTCTCCTGAAATCAATATTGAGACAGAGAAACCTGTGAAAACAAACTTTAAAACATCCTGATATTTATTGCTGGATATTGGCATTGATTTCTTTGGCTGCTTTCTTTGGCACTGATTGGTTCTGGGTCTTTCTAAAGAACAGTGTATGCATTTTGGGAATTGGCCTTTGACAGATCTCACATCCAGTACCAGTCTTCAAATTTCACATAACTTTGCACCTAATTTACACTTTGCCTTCCTGCTTGATATGATGTCTTCCATCTCTCTTTTAAAAGTCCAGGCCCGTTTAATATAGCTTGCTTAATAATAAAAATCATATAACTTATAGCAAGCATTAATTTCTTATGGATGTGGAAAACAGGATTGCTTCTGGTTCTGATCATGTTTGTGTCAGTACGTGATTGCCATTGCCTGATGTGCTAGAGTGAAAGGATTTTGTTTTCTCACTTCATTCTGAAGGGGAATAAAGCTCCACATTCCCAACAATGCTCACAGAGTTGACATGCTTGCTGTCAGTCTCAGCAAAAAGTGAGGCTGGAAAGGGAGAACGAAGTATCCTGTGGCGTTGAATGTGCTCCCTTCAGATAAGGGATGAGGCACTATTTCTGCATGATTAAACAAATGGCTCTTTTCTTTGACTTTTGCTCATCTTTCACTTTTAAGTACATTTCAAGTTTTAAATCAAACCAGCCATCTCACTTTAGTTACAAAATGATTTGTTGGACAGTACCTTTTAGAGATGATATGAGATGAACAAATTTGATAAGTCAATAAATGCATTATTTTTGCTTAATTTTTACTTTGCTTTCACAAACTAGACTATGTATGAATACAAGTATTCATAAAAAAGTTACGGAACTTCTTGAGAAAAGCTTTGTTTCAAACTAAAGTAGTACTACCATATAGAAGTGAAGTCAGGTCACTAAGTGGATTCAGGTTTTTGTGTATCTTCTTTTCCTCCCTCTCTTCCTGAGTTGCTTAGCTGAGTTGATTTCTGTGAACTGTAAGGAACTATGTTTAGATCTGTAATTGCGTGTATTTTGGATTCATCAACAGAATAGTTAAGAGCATAAAATGTTACTGTAATTCATTCATGTCTTTCACAGTGATGGAAAGAGCTAATTAAATCCATGCTCCTCTGTGATGGAGACCAGATTCCAGTTTTGAAGCCCTACTTGCGATTCATATGGAGATGGCAGGAACTCCCTCCTCTAGATGCCTGGCTGCACATGTGCTTCTAGACTAACCCTGTCATCATCTTTACACATCTAGCTGTGTCTAGGCAGTAAGAGATACTTGAGTGCTGGGGTTTGTATTGCCTTTGTCCTGCTTTCTGTCATTCACAGTGAGACGGATTGTATCTTTAGCCAGATGAAATCTGTGGGCTGCTATTAGTTCCATCTTGCTCCACCTTCTACCCAGTTTATAAAGACCTACTGATTCTGTTTGTCATGGAATAACTTTTTGCATCATTCCTTTTATATTAAAAAATGCCTTCCAGGCCATGCATTATTCGGCACATCAGTGTCAATAATTAAAAAGTATCAGTCTTATCCCATGTGGACAACTTCTGGACCATTGAGAAGAATCTGACAGATGCACTTTATGAAATGCTAGATTTTGTAGTGGTAATGCTGACTTTATGTGGCTGGTCTATTGGAAGGAAGGGGTCTAAAAACAACTCAGCATGAACTTTTAAAGCGAAGTTCATAAAGGACTAGACAAAGCCAGCTCCCATTAATGCACTGGAGTTTTCCGTGCCTTAATTCTCTTTCAAACTGGCGACTTCTTTTTAGATAACAAAATTTAAGTTTAGGATCCTAACTTTTAGTGCTCAAAAATCTCACTGAATGTAGTTTCAGGCTCCTCACATCTTACAGCAACAAATCCAATATGTATTGGAAATTTTGTTTCTCTTTTACTTGCAATAAGTAATTGGTATTACAAGATTTTTGTCCTTTCAGTTGCTGAATGAGTAGTCTCAAATAAGTACATGGCTAAAAGGCCACATCTTCCACTCAAAGTCTTGTTCGACCGCCTCTCAGTTTTTACAGTTCATTGAATGGGAGCAGTGCGAAGTTTAGGTTGTGTTTACAAACTGTGGAAAGAACAGTTTTAGATTTCCAAGAGTTAAATAAGCAAGTGTCAGAAAATTACTGTCTGGACTGTGCCAGGCTTCACCACAAAGCTTTGATTTAAAGATGTCACTGCTTTTATGGCAGTGAGCTTTTTCCAGCCAGCCATTGTTTCTGCTGTGGGAAACAGTGAAGTATTTTGCACACGAAAGGACTATAGGAGCAGGCATTGTACAGAACAAGTCTTTGTTCTTTACATGCAGGCTGGAAAGCTAAGGACTGGGAACTGTGAAATTTATACTCTTTTTCCAGCTCTGCTGTTGTTCTGATACATTTCAGATGTTTAATGCAGATCTACACCATTTTAGTTGCCTCATCTATGCAGGTGCCCAGCTTTTTGTCCTGGAGGGTTGCTTTGGTCAGCAGAGAGAGGTCCACCTCCAAAGGGCATTTTAATACACCTAGGATCTGAATTGCCTTCTTGACAGTTGCCATTTTCTCTCTCTCCATAGATGAAACACAGGGTAACCACATTAACTCACCTCAATTAGATGATGTCTCAGTTTCTTATATAAATTTTAGTGGGAAAAGTATTTCCTTATCTGACATACTTAGGAGAGCTGACATCGTGTGTTCTATGAGTGCTATAAATTAACACTATTCACTATTTTTGTGGGCAAAAAAGTGTTATTGTATTGTTAGTCACTGGAGC